AGGTGGAATACCTACATCAATGGAAGAAGTTCTCCCGATGGTGTAGATAGCATCTTCACTAAGTGTTCCAGTGCTGTATATGTAGCCAAGCCCTGATAGTTTACTACATTAAGGTTAGGTGAAGATTTGGGAACCTTGGCCATTAGACTGATAGTGTTACTTGATATAAATTAACCCCAGAGACAATCTACTGTCTGATTAAGGTGGAAAGTGAAAGAAACAACCCCTGCCTCTTTATCATTAAATAAGATAATTGCTAATACAATAATGAGCGTGCTGCCTTGGCCTGTAGCCATTGGGCTTCATTTTTATTTACATCAATTCCCTTTCACACTGCTCTGGTGCCCTAAAATGGGCTTACATTGTGAAAATGGTGTAAAGGGGTCTTCATGTAAATGAGAATCAGGTAATTTCTCCACTGGTAACATTAGGCCAGTTATCACAGTTATCACAGGAACATAGTACCTAGAATTGCATGCTACATCATACAAGCTGGGACGATAAAACAAAGGTTGGCAGAATTCAATTTTTGTTTTTGATATTTTTGGTGGATAATATCAATGTTCATTTTAAAGCATTGTTCATGTTTTTATCAATTTAAATGTTCACAGCTGGAAATTATGGGGATGAGTATCAGACAATGGGAGGGTCAGACAATATCTGTTTAATGGTAGTAGACACTGAGATTCCAAAAGTTAAAACTTTATATGCATTAAAACACAAATTGTCAAAATCATGTCAAAATATACACAGTAAATATCGTTATATCAAACTTTAATAAGTTCTTAAGCAGCATTTTTCTTACTTTGCTTATCTGTATATTTCCATTTTTGTTGATGGATTTTTTTGTCTGTGTGTGTACAGTGACACTGAAGTTTATTGACATGTGCCAATAAAAATTTAATCTGTCCAAGTCTAAAGATAATGCATATCGCCACTGTTGTGGCTTTCTCACCTTTCTGGCATAGGAACAAGTGAGTCATACTAACCCTTACACAGAAAGACCAGAGTATGACATTATCACCCTCTGATCAGTATAGGCTGAAATACAACTTTAGTTTCTTAGACACACAGCTCTGTCTGGCAGCCAAGGCAGAATTCCATCATAGGCAAAGCTATTCAATCACTGATATAGAGGGGGAAAAGGTGGTAAAAGCTAGGGTGCTAAAGCACTAACGAAAAAAATATGAGAAGTGCTTAAAATGTTGACATATGCTGCTTTCAGTTTTGAGCACCACATGTCAGAAAAGACAGACAAATTAGAGAGAGTTTAAAGCTGAGTAACAATAAATGGTAAATGGTTTGGAAAATAAAATCTCAGAGGAAAGGTTAAGATAGGTAGGTATATTTAATGCAAAGAAAAGGAGTGCAGAGATCGTCAAGACCAGATTTGATAACCATCTCTCTCTGGATGAATCAGGAATTATCAAATCCCTTATCAAGATGCAAAGGGATGAACGAGATGACACATTAGAGGTGCTTTTCTATAAAAACAATCCCATCAATATTGTAAAATCAAGATACAATTGCACTTTAAAGGAGATGCATAAAATAATATCAACCATCAATCATTTTATTCTTCTCCACTTCTAGTTTTAATACCTCTCATTCCTTTATGAGGAAATGCAGCTATGCATTTACATGTGTGAAATGATACAGTCCTGTACTATGGAGGCTAGCTCCAGCTCAGGCTTGAACCATTCCCACTGAAACTGTCACATGAACAGTTGTATAGGTATATGCAAGAGAATCATAATTTCTGAAAAAAGACATTCCTTAGGTGATGCGGGAGACACCTGTTGTTTCCATATTTTAATTAGCAGAATACAAGACTCTTTCAAGAAGAGAGAATTTTTTTGAAAAGTCTCATTTTTTCATTGCCTGACAAATCTCTCTCCCTCTTCCTCCACTACACACTAGCAAAAGACAAACAAATTAGCTTTTCATTATAACTTTAGAAATAAGCTGCTTCAGTTTCATAACAAACAGTATGGCTCATTATCAGTTTCATTAACTGGGTCAAACTTAATTCAGATTTTTGTTAAATAAACCTATGCCTTAGTAACTCATGTTTCATGAATAATGAGGTGTTGATAAGGATAAATGAGAAAAAACAAAACACCTTTTATACATACACCAGACAGATCAAATGATGAGGAAAATCAACGGGGGAAAAAGTTCTCAGATGGATTTCAGACTGTGAATGACAGATATTTAGCTGCAACAGCTTGACTTTAAGTCATCAAGACAATACTGCTATCCTTTCAAAATGCCAATAAAATTTCACTATGTTTATATTAAAATCATATCTGTTGATATGTAATGCAATGCATGCCTATAAATGAAGTTTGTACTATATTAACACACAATGGAGATGTATGGTATACTACCAGTGCAATAAGACACTTTTTTGAAAATCGTATCATTACACCAGATGGCATTTATGTTTTATTCTAGAGAATATGAACAAGAGATGGTTTACATATTGCCTGCCCTCAACTAATCCGTTTACATTTCCTCATTTACAGTCTATGTAAATTAGTGACAAAGATAATCGTTAGGCTAACATGTTAGTTTTCTAAACAATAACCTGGACTGCCATATTCTAACTCACATTTAATTCTTTCAAAAAAACAAATGCTCCACTATTTTATATCCAAGCAGAGATTGTCTATGAAGCATATTTATTCTGTTCTTCACTATGGCTTATGTTGTTTGTGATACTTAATGCTTCAATTGCTGTCAATAAACATGCTTCACCAATAAACTGATAGGTACACTTCACAGATATTCCAGATTCATACAGTGCAATGTTCTCACAACACAAAACACTAGGAAATCACTGTATGAATCCAAGAATTCCTACCTCTCTTGTGGTTTGCAACTTGAACAGAAGAAACAGTTGACAAAGATAATTTGGGAGCAACTGGATAGGTTTAAAAACATGAACAATAAATTAGAAAGGTATCATATAGGAACAAATAAAAAAGCTTAAAAATGAATTACCTTAGTCACTACATTTTTAATTAGCTTTAAAAAATTCAACATAAGTGAGTATTTTTTAACTATTGTTTGCTGTTCTGAAAAGGAAGGTTGATATTGAGGTGAAAATGAGTGAAACACTATCAATGATTAAGGTATTGGAAATGATAATAATTTGAAGGGTTTTAAAAACAGGAAGGAGAGACCGTTTTAATATCTGCATTTTTATTTGGCTTTGGCTCAGATGTTATACATGACCTAGGGAGTTTCTTCCCAAGTCCATAATTACTGACTATACAATACACCTCATGGTCTGTATAGTTTTTATCAAATTTATGTACAGATGTTGTTCTAATTGTACTATAAAGAAAAGCATAATAAATAATGTGCAGGTATGGGCATCATTCTGTAATCAGGATGTACATATATTATACTTCAAATACTGGACTCAAGGATCTTAATTCTGATAAATGTTAAACTCTTAACAATATGCTCCAAACAAGTAATCTAACCACAAAATATTTGAAGTTTTTTGTGCTTTGTGTTCTCTCCTAACATGTAAAAGCTAAATAAAATTTTCATGTGTGTGGGAACAATGCATAATCTTGTACTGCTCAAGATGCATTGTGAAGTGATGTTAATCACTTGCAGTATAATTTGTTAAACTATGAAATGCTTTAGAAATGCTAAGTGTCATTTTGTTGAGGATGTTTTGATTGATAATTCATATGAATAACAAACTGAACTTTGCTGCTAATCCTTAAAGAAAGCAGAAGAGCAGAGATAAATTTGTTTTTCTTCTTTAAGGAACACATGCAGAAACTTGGAAAATATAACATGGACTAGCTGATTAAGATTATTCTATTTGTTAGTAACCTATGTGTATCTAGGGCAGCCTCAGTTTCATCACCATGATCAAGGACTAATACTGCAGTCCGTACAATATAACTCCCCAGCAAATTGCTAATGTATTTTGTTTAGCTTAACAGCTATTTCCTGGATCTTCCTCTTGCTCATTTCCTCCTCCTCCATCTGTATTCATTAGAGTTTAAAAAGAACATCCTGTGCATAACCATGGCAAGCTGCAGGCCAGAGTTCTGCAATTCTGGGGGAAGGGTGCAAGGGAGATTGGGGAGAGCAAGGGGATTTCATGTTAAATAATGAACGGGTTTACATCTGATTGTCAAATTTGTAGCATGCAAGCTAGTATGAACACAAATTCAAATGGAAAAGCATTTTACTTTTTATTTTATTACTCTTAAAATCACTCTATCCCTTTCTGCAGTAATCATCATGCCACAGTCTGTCACTGTAATTTTTTGTGTGTCATTGGAATTCAGATGCAGAAGTATTGCACTGGGGATTTCAGAGAGATTGCTGTCAATGCTAGAGGAGATGTAACTTTTAGACCACAAAGAAAAATACTTAGAAACATCTCTTCTGTGACCTGACCTGCTAAAAAAAAAAAAATGGAGGAAAACCCAAATTCTGAAAATATTGTATATAAGATTGTTAAAATAAATTCCAGGAGACTATGGTCCAACTGTCTTCGACTATGCAGCTGAGCTCTGAATACAAATGGGAATAACATTCATTTCACTTAAGAAAACAAAGTGAAAGAGAGACATTAAGAAATGGGTTTGATGTAGACCATGGAAATCTTTGGCACTCAAAAGTCTTGAAACTGTCTCATAAAGCAAACTGCGATGTCTATACAATTCCAGGCTTCTCCAGAGACTCACTTTAAATTTAATCTATGAAATTGCTTACAACTTTGGTGCCTGCTTTTCCATACTTTTTGCAATAGTGTTTCTAGTCCAGAATCTGTATATTAGAAGAAGCCTTTTTCATGTAAAAATTTTGTTTATGCTAATTCTCATCAGATTGGTTTTGACAATACCATTACTTAGTACCAACAGAAAAAGGAGCTGGATTATTATTATTTTTTGCAAACATGTGGGATTTTATTAAAGCAATTTAAGTAACTTTCGACCAGTAGGAATTTTACAGAATCCTACCTTGATTTGGTTTAGAAACCTCAAGGGAAGAAATATTCGGCCATATCCTATCAAACTTTGGTGGATCTGCATGCATCAGGAAAAATCAGGATTTGTTATTTACATACGTGATATTGTTCTAAACAGAGAAGTGTATGGACAAAGACATAAACCACAAACATCTGCTACTGGACTTGTCTATGATGCACTTGAACAATACGTGACTCCCACATTGAACAAGAACAAGCAATTGATGATTCCCAAAACATTGAATGGACATTAAATACTGTATATAGCAATTTATCTTTCAGGATTTTAGATATTAACTTCAGTGTTAAGAATATATACTGGAAAGATATATATATTTTTAACACTAATCACAAACCAGGAACCTTTCTGTTTATGCTATTATTTTAAACCTAGCGTCCAGAGATAAAATGACAATATCATACAAATACAGTAATTTCTTACTATAACATCTCATTTTAAGGACTTTAAATCTACAAATACTTACATAAAAAGAAGCTTCTACTATCAGCAAGTTATATTTACTAGGGGAATGGGTTATTTTGTTCTCACTTTTGTGTATTGTATCTCTTTCCCATTGCCCCATCAATATCTTATATAGCTTAATTTCTTTTAAATAAATAAGGAAATTAAATTTTTCTTAAAAACATTAGATAAAGGAAGAGATTTCTGAATTAGTTGGGTAGATTCCCAAACCACAGATTTCCCAGTAAAAGGTGAATCCCCCTTTTCTTCGTCAGATGCATCAGTTTACACATATTGGAAGTGCATTGCAGCAGCCAATCGGAAAGGGAGCACACACAAGTGAAAGGTATCAAAAACCTGTATTTGTAGAGGTAGAAAGATCACCATAGCACTTGATGAAAGAGTGGCTAGAATTGTATGCACCTGTGAGATAACTGCCCCTTTTCTAGAGTACTGACTTTTATGGCTTTTATAAATTACTTTATTTGGTCTTGTGTTTGAATAATTGAGGATTGATCTCACGTGTTAAGGGACTGTGAAAATAGTCTCTGTATGTGATAAAAAACAAATAAAAATAAGAGTGAGGTCTGGATAAAGAGAATAGGAATCTCCTAGCTGTCTTACCTGTTGCCTTGATTGGACCTTATCCTTTTACTCTCCTAGCCACTGTGTAATAATACATCAAAAATCTTTGAGACAGACTAAAGTTACATTCCAGATACGAAGTGCTACTGGCAGAATGGCTCTCTTCTTGGCACTTGCCCTCCAAAAATACAGAATAGTAAGGTGGCCATCAGCTGAAATGACCTAGGCATTACCAGTAATAACATCATACTATGTCAAAGCTCAAAGGAAATCTGCACAACACTTTCAAAAGATGAACTTAGGAGCTTAAATTCATAACTTTGCTAGATACTAAAAATCATGGACTGAATAGACACACTGGATTTATGGGTTACTACAACTATCCCACTACAACTCTATCCTGCTAACGACCCCCCTTCCAGCTGCTTTCCCCCCTTCCTTTCCTCCCTATGACTGGAGGAGTGTTAAAGGAGTGTTAAAGGATAAGGAGTGTTCCTTATCTTAAATGGCCCCTTGAAATATATGTTAAGTATGCTAAACAATCTGTTCCACCTTGTTTTTAGCTGTGACATGAGTACCTTTCCCAGACCTGAAGAAGAGCTCTGCGTAAGCTCAAAAGCCTCTGTCCCCAACAGAAGTTGGTCTAATGAAAGATATTACTTCACGCACCTTGTTTCCCTAAAGCTCTGTAATACATTTAAGACCAGCCCTATGGAGTATCTGCCACTGACTAAAATATACTGGGGAGGCAGGGGAGGGATAGCTCAGTGGTTTGAGCATTGGCCTGCTAAACCCAGGGTTGTGAGTTCAATCCTTGAGGGGGCCATTTGGGATCTGGGGCAAAACTTGGGGATTGGCCCTGCTTTGGGGGTTGGACTAGATGACCTCCTGAGGTCCCTTCCAACCCTGATATTTTATGATATGCCTAATCAGAGCAATTCTTACTTGGAGACGCATATTTTCAGTCTCTTGTCTGAATGAGACTACTAATCACGTAACTAAAGATATCAACCAATTTACAGTTCTCTCGGCAATATTGCTGATAGCAGTACAGGATGTTCATGCTCAAGTAGATTATGAAAGCTTGTTTCAAGAAAACCTATTTAAGCTACGGACCCTATGTAGGGGATGAACCAGGTTAGAAAATACAACTCTAATGACCTTCCAAATTTATTTACAGTAAGATGAGTTTGCCAAGGGTACACCCAAGAAAGTGATACATATGTATTTGTATTATAACTGATTGAAGTAATTTTGAACGTTTTTGTGCCTGGAGGTTACTCAGTGTTCAGGCAGATACATCTGATGTATACAAGTAAATATAAACTTTCTGGACCTTGGTAATGTAGCTAATGCACTGACTGGTTTAATTTTCCTACTTAGAAATTTTTCCTTCTCTTCTAGGAAGGTCTTCTTTGACTACTCTATGATGAGTAGGTTTATTTTGTTACCTCCCTGTCTATTGGTGGAACTTGTCATCACCAAGATTTTCAATTTCTCAAGAAGAGTCTTTGTTCTTATCTTTGAAACCCAAGGTTTTATTTTCTGGATAATATTTTTATTGCTCTATCAAAACTTCCTTGTGAGACTTGCCTCACAAAGAATATAGGCTGTCCTCATTATCTGGTATAGACCCTTAACATCCACAGGTTAAAGGTTTGTTTTGATTGGGCTTGAGTGTGTTAGGGCCTTATTCCAGGATGTGAAAGTTATATTATTTTATGTATGTTTAAAAATGTAGATGTTAATTCTAGAAATTAAGCTTTTAAGCCTACAGGATCCTTCTATTATGTATTTCATTGTGTCTGTGGCTTTATGCAGTAGGAGCACATTCCTGTAATTGCATATTTTCCTGTGTAGTTAGGTTCTCTCTTACCTCAATTGTAGAAGAGTTTTTGAGTCATCAAAGGAGCCCACTGCATGCATACTGTAAAAGCCGGATACTGGAACAGATTAGTCAGCCTCTGAACAGCCACCAGTCAGACTCCTTTAATAGGTTATTTAATAGCCAGTCATTCATTTACAGCAATTTGTGAAAATCTTTTTTTTTTCCTGAGTTACTAATAGGCAGGCCTTGTCTACATTGGGCAATTGACTGGAAGAGATATATTCCAGTATAGCTCTCCATGTGGGCACTTTAAATCTGGAATAAAAATCACATTGTTACAAAAGAATTACTTTGTGGTTGAATAATTTATCCAGAATACGGTGACTTTTATTTCAGAATAGTGTGTCCACATAGGGGCTATTTCAGAATAGTTCACTCTACAATAGCTATCCCTCTGTCAATTTTCCTGCATAGACAAGACCTAACAGTAATAGTTCTGAGAACACAGGAGGAGCAAAGTTTAGCTTAAAAGGAAAGCTATGGAATTGTGATCTCTGAAAGTACATTTTGAATACATCTTTTAAAAAATGTAGGTACTTTAGGCACATTTAAGTGTAGAGGGATGTGAGACATGTAGCTTAGCAGACAATCTATTTTAAACATTACTTGAAAAAAAATTCTATACTGCTGGTTAATCCATCCTGCAACATCTTGCTCAGGTAGTAAGGAGAAAATTATTGTATGATGCTTAACAAGTGTATAATCACTTAGACTTAAAGGCCAATAGAAATTTTCGCTATTGCTTTTCTTTTCACTGGATTCTTTTATAACAATGTTAGAACAATCTGTAGTGCTAAAGGAAGGGAGGGAATATGTATCAAATGACCACTGGAAATCAAAATTTGGACCAACTGGCACAGACCGTTAAGACCAACTGGCACAGACCATTAAGACCAAATGGTCTTGATTTGGGAGGTTTATGTGAAATAAGTTGGTAGTTTCAGCCCAATTCCAACTGGATGGATTGGAACACAAAAACCACTGCCACAGTCAGCAGAAATTAAGCATCACCCTTATTGGCTGTTTCAAGTGGCCAAACACTGAGTTGACAAGGTAATTAAACTGTGCTCTCAATCCAACGTGCTATCCTTCCAGAGCAACACTGAGGAACGTTGTTAATGGAGTGTGTGGAAGAGGATATTACTGCTCCATGTGCTATGCATGTTCTTTGCCTAGTCAGAGTATTTGTCTCCTAAGCTAACAGTATTACACAAAGATTGCATTTGCTTACAATTATTAATAAAATAATTAATAAAAAGTAGTCTTGAGTTTAGTTCACTCTGAAGATTGACAGGGGCCACTTGAATGACCAAGTGATCATTTGACTGGTACATAATAGCAATGACACAACTGTCCGAGAAATTGAGAATTTTGTGATTGGGGAAAATTTGTTTAAAAATCTTCACTTTTAAACCATTTTTATTTAAAAAGTAAGAAAAGCATGAAGGCTAAAAAAATCACAATCCAATTTCATTTAAATCATTCCAAGTTGAAGTAAAGCACCTGATCATTTAGGCTTGGCCCTGCCACTGTCTTCTTAGACTGTAAGTTCAGTTAAAGGCATGTCTCTTGTAGTGCGTATGTAGAGTGCCTCGCACAAAGGGGCCCTGTTCTCATTTGGAGCTCTGAGTGCTACTGTAATACAAATAATTAATAAATGAAAGTATATGCCACTCCTATTTAAATCAGTGGAAGATTTGTATATGAATTCCTGGCATAAATGGGTATAATTAGATCAGGTGATATTTTATCACCACTCTCGGGGAGTAAACTATGACAAGGGCAGTATTTCACCCTCATTGTATTTCTTATTTCAAATCAGGGTGATGCCTACCTCATGCAAGAAGCTTACCTGAGGGATGAAATCAACTTTTTCTCACAGGTTAATAGAATACTATAGAATAAAACTGAGCAAAAAAGAAATGTTTCAAAATTTAGTCTAAATCTCCCTCGTTTTAGAAATTCAAAAATTTAAAATTAAAAAAATGTTAACCAGTGCTAGCTAGACTATTTTTTTGGGCAATGTAAGACATTTCATACCTCTTCCTTAGACGGATGAAAATACTGCATTAAAGTGGAGATGGAGTTGTTTTATTTGGCGTGGAAGCTCCTCAGCCATAAC